ATAAACACAATCCTGTGTTTATCTTATCTCCAACTATTACATGTAAAATTGCAACCCTCCAGTATTTCAGATTTGCTACACCTTTTTCATTGTACAGACAGACAGATAGATACTAACTGCAAAAATAAGTAGGACATTACTGAACTATCCACCAGTAAGAAATGAATAAGTGCTGCACATCAATATATTAAAAAAAAAACTTAGAGCAAATTAAATAGATGACTGGAACAGAGGGATGGATGGATGGATGGATGGATGGATGGATGGATGGATGGATGGACACACAGAGGATTTTAAAAAGCAAGGTAGCCATAAACTCCCAGAGGTCCTATCCTCAATACATCAGAAACTTTCAGAGGCACCCCTCTGATCCCCCACGAAAAAGCAGTATTAAAGCAAACTATAGACAAAATTACAAACAATCTAAGGAAATGACAACTCACCTTCTAAGAAACAAATCTACAGTTCTCAGTGTAGTTGAAAATACAACTAAAATGTCCTATGTAAAAACTGAGAAATAATTCTGTGGCTGAGTATGAGCAAGTTACTGTGCTTGTTTGTAGATACCTTCTATCAGAATAAAACACTAAAATTTACTCTTTAAAGTTTAGAAATTTATCTGATTTGAAGCCTTCAGCTAATTTCTCCCATGTTTCATGCAAAGCAAGTTTATTTCCAGCTGAAAAGCAATTTATGCTCTCGCTCCTTTTATCTAGAATATGAGAAAATTACCCCTTTTCATAATTAATAGCTACCTGCTAACACAGAATCAATAGAAACAATTTTTAACATTTTAGAGATAAAGGGCAGTTGGATAAAGCCCAATAGTGTTGAAAGCTGGTGAATGAGATAACAGAATAAAGCAGGCATTGCCCAAACCTAAATGGAAAAAAAGTACAAACACATTTGAAACTCCACTGGCATAAAAACTATTATGTGCCCTGTCTAGTTTACAAATGAATAAAATAAGAATCATGTTGGCATATTACAAATATGAAGGTGCCAAATATTCTGTTATTATCTAAGAACTTGCTGTAATGGCACCCAGTAGGGGCTCAACGGGTTTCCTAAATGTACCAAGAGAGGAATAAAAAAGAGAGAAGGATATAGGGAGGCAGGGAATGTCTCTGTATTTCAGAATCAGCTTCTTGCTACGTGCCACTCATCCATTCATTCACACGGTTCATTCAGTTACTATTTGCTGAGTGCCTGCTCTAAGTACAGAGCAATAGACCTCCAAGAACTGCCAGCTTAACGTACTCTGTTCTCCAATCTGTCTGCTTTTGAACAGAAATATTACACCTTCACCTCTCCACATACTGATATTTCAAGGAATAACTTTAAATATTATCCAGCTTTGTAAAGCGCAGAACTGAAATAGGAGGCCAGATAGAAAAATGCAAATGTTATAATATTAAGCATGAAGCACCTTATGTGTTAATGCCTTATGTGTTAATATATTTAAAGATTAACTAAATTAATTTTTAAGATTTGATGTGATGGGCTCAGCGCAATAGCATAGTGGTTAAAGTCCTCTCCTTGAACACACTGGGATCCCATATGGGCACCAGTTCTAACCCCAGCAGCCCCACTTCCCATCCAGCTCCCTGCTTGTAGCCTGGGAAAGCAGTCGAGGATGGCCCAAAGGCTTGGGACCCTGCACCCACATGGGAGACCTGGAAGAGCTCCTGGCTCCTGGCTTCAGATTGGCTCAGCTCCAGCCACTGCTGCCACTTGGGGAGTGAACCATCAGATGGAAGATCTTCCTCTCTGTCTCTCCTCCTCTGCATATCCGTCTTTCCAATAAAAATAAATCCTTTTTTAAAAAAGATTTGATGTGATATATTTACATTTTTTCTCTTTTTTTTTTTTTACTATTATTATCATTTTATGAATCAGGTCCATAGGCTCCTGGGATTTCCCTTAACCCCTCCCCAGTTCTTCACCCCACCTAGTTCCTCTATATCATTACTAAGGTATAGCTCTTCATACAGTCATATGTCCATATTTTGGCAGAAACTAGACAAAGCACATTTCACTCACCTGTTTAAACAGCCTTCATTGGTTATGACACAGCAAATGTGATCTCTCAGACTACATTCAGCAGACATTTTTAAACAATTTATGCAAATAAGCCTAACTCTACTTGCTGAAGTCTTTATGTAAAAACAGGGATTCTTTTAAGATAATTTGTTCCTATAAAGTTAGAGTGTAAGCAAATTTCTGTTTTTAAAGATGCATTTACTTATAGATTATTTAGTTAGAAATTACTGACAAAAAAAATAAATACAGAGTTAAAGAGACAATGGGGGAAAAGACAGAGAGATCTTTCATCCTCCGGTTCCTCCCCAAATAGCCACAACAGTCAGACTGGGCCAGGCCAAAACCAGGAGCCAGGATCTTGACCCCAGTCTTGCCTGCAGTGTGCCAGACGCCCAAGCACCTGGGCCACCTCCTGCTTCCTTCCCAGGTGCATTAGCAGGGAGCTGCTAAGAAGAGCAGCCGTCAGAATGTGAACCAGTGCTCATATGACACATTGGTGTTGCAGGCACCAGCTTAAACCACTGCACCACAACATAGCCACCAGCTGGATTTCTTTTCCATTTTTCTTGTCACAATTCTTAAATGAAACTTGCCATTCCACACAGGAAGAAAATGACAATTTATTACAAATGTCACATTGGGAATATCTCCAGGGGCTGGCACCATGTATAGTAACCTAAGCCTCTGCCTGTGATGTTGACACACCACATGCCTGCTGGTTCATGTCCCAGGTCCTCCAATTCCAATCCAGCTCCCCTCTTCAGGCTCAGGATAGCTGCAGAAGATGGTTCAAGTTCACCCTGCACCCATAGGGAAGACTCGGGAGGCTCCTGGCTTCTGGCCTCAGATTGGTACAGCTCCAACCATTGCAGCCACTTGCAAAATCAACCAACAGATGGAAGATTCACTTTCTGTCTTTCCTTCTTACTATGACTTGGCTTTTCAATTAAAAAATCTTTTTTTTAAAGGAAGACCTCTAGCCTTTTTTTCATAATTTGTTTTTAAACAAACTGAACTTATTGAGTTCCACAGGTTTAATTTAACACAGAAAAAAAACAAAATATAAAATTTTCAGACTGTGTGACAGATAGAAATAATCCCATGTTCTATTATTTAAATGGTTATCACCAAATTTAGCAATATCAACAAGTTAGTAGCATTAACATACTGAACTTTATCCCCAGTTTCTCAACCTTTTAATTGTGTTCTGTCTTGAAATAGGTAAACACTGTGACCGTATCCCTGAAGACAGAGGCATTCACATTGAGGACCGATGGTGTTAGCAATGTAGGCACTTTGTCTTCGCTGTAAGTATCTTAGATACAACGCCATGATCTTAAGTCATCTATTCCTACACTCAGAGATTGAGTTTCTATACTGAAATGACAAAAAAAATCATAAGGAAGTTTTCTGTCCAAGTGTCCTCATTCTTTCAAAGGCAGACTGAGGTGGAGGTGGGGAGTGGGAGAGGAGGGAGCGTGTGTTAGAGAGAGAGCTCTCTGCTTTAGCTGCTACACTGTTGAAGCCAAGAGCCAGGATCTCAGCTGCTCCCGCACAGCTCACAGGAATCCAAGGACTTGGGCTGCCATCTGTGCTTCCTAGGGCACATGTTAGCAGGCAGTAGAATCAGGAGAGTCACTACTTCGACCAAGCACTCTAAATTGGGATACATACGTCCAAAGGAGCATCTTACTCTTTTTGTAAAATTTTATTTTCAAAAACCTTTAATGGGGGTCAAACTCAAATCATCTTCAGTGTGGGTTCAGTCCACCTTTTCAAGCAGATGACCAACAACCACAAACCCCCTATTCCATCCATACTAGTGTATTAGCTGTCTTCTTCTGAAATGTATTTCCTTATTTGTACATATTACCAATTATTTGAGAAATAATCATCACATCCTGAGTGATTAAAGACTTCTGATTCATCAGTACAAATCACAATTCTTTAAATTACATATTAATGCATTTCTCTCGAACAATTTCACGTCAATAAATCCATAGCAACAAAAAGTTGTTTTCTAAGGCATCTAAAATATCAGTAAATGGATAACCTTTCACAGTTGCTACAACAGACTTTCAATTCATCATGAAGTACATTTTAACTCAACTTATATTGTATTTTGATTTATTGTACTTACTTAATAAGAACAGTGTTAAAATTTAATCAGCTTTGTGATTTAGTGATGTATGTAAACAAAACAAATTTTTCATAGATGACATTATATTATGAAAAAAGAAACCTAACAGAAATTATATTCTTCATTGCACAAAGACAATAAATTTATTTGAAAAGTGGCATAATCTAGAGTTTCATTCTCATCATGAAAGCTAATGCTTTATTAAAGGAAAATAAATAAAATACTGTGGCAATAAAAAATTTGTAGAAATGACAAAGAGGTGGTCATTTTCAGTACATCTTTTAATCTTATTTTATATCTGAACACACTGCTCAATTCAAGCTTGACTTCTGGGCTTTGCTGACCCTTTAAACATGAAATTAATATTTCTTCTTATATTATTTATCAGGTTCACTTGAAAAGGTTTTCTGATAAAAATCAAATGAGGTCACAGAGGGATAATTTAGACAAAATTTTCTTCAAAATATTTCTAAATAAATCTCTAACAAGAAATGTTAGAGAATGTTTCCATTAAATCAAATAATTGCATCTATTTACAATGAAGTAAAACCATGGGTTATCGTAAAACCAGAAGAAACCTTCAGAAGCATACATTTCCAAGGGCAATTTCTCTCATGTAATAGTTTCCCCAGTCCAACTCAATGTATATTCCCAGAAAAATCTCAGAAAGATGTTACAGGTTAGAGAATGTTTATATTGTATTGCAGACAATACATAAACACAAGGAAAGAAAGCCAATCAACTTCACCGTAGTAGCAAACATGGGCAGCCACACACCATTGCTAGTCTTTAGTTTCCGACCTGAGAACACACTTACCCTGAAAAGCTGCCGCATTCCGAGATATCAGCAACTTCAACGTGGAGCTGGATGCTTGAAGCACCTGTTGCATATCTTGGCGAGCAGCAATTTGATATCTCTCCTCCATCTTCCTGGTACAACATGTCGATTTTCTGGATATGCAAACCTGAAGATCAGATCCTAGAACACAGGTAAATATTTTCCAGAATGATTATATGTCCATTTAACAAACATCACCATGTTACATGTCAGGCATTATAAAGAGCACTGTACATAAGGGGATGATGTCCTAAGTAAAGAGTTAGCTTACTAGATCTTTGAAAGAACATTAACACAACCAGGAACAAAAGAAACATTAACTCTTGATTCAAATAAGTTTGTTACCTTTTTGGTCAAACATTAAATATACTGCCTGAAGCCCCAGTGGTTAAGACACACTTACCGTGGTTCCCGGGTTCAAGGCCTGGCTTCTCTCGAGAGCCTAACTGCCTGCTAAGCTGGGTCTTGGGAGGCCATGGTTGATGGCAAAGTGATTGGATATCTATTCTCGGTAAGGAAGATCTGGCTTGAAATTCTGACATCAGTTTGGACATCCAAGCCAGGATGTCCAGGCATTTGGAGAGTAAATCAGTAGATAAGAGTCCATTTTTCTTTCTGTGTGTCTCTGTCTGTATCTCTCCACATGATATGTATTCATAAATACACAAGGCATATGCACAAGAGAAATAACTATTATATAACAGTAACTCATGAAGAAGGGGGTTTTTTTTGTTTGTTTACATTCCTATTTCAGGGAAAATTATTTGAGCCAAATATGTTAGAGAATTACACAGAAAAACAATTGTTTTTTCCTGAGGAAATGGAATTGAAACTTCGTATCAACTAAAGGTCAAAAGAGTTTACCTCATTTCTTTCTCTCCATCATATCTGTGCTTCTTGTGGGCTATGGTATTATCTGCAATAATGCCTTGACGGAGGATCAAGGCCTCCACAGGATCAACCCAACTTCTACCTAGAACACAGCTGGCAAGAGACCATCCCCAACAATGCGAGCACTTCTTACTTGCACGGTCAAATTTTGTTTAAATCCAATGAAACTCACATAAAATGAAATTATTCCTATGTGAAAATTTCATATTTTTCAGAGAAATTACTAGTATGATTAGCAATACTCATTCAGAGTATTGACTCAGAGTCAGCAGATCTATATGTAATAAAAGAGGGAAAGATGTGCAGCTAGGCCTGAAGCAGAAATCCCAACCAGAGTACGATGTGAGGCCAGAGGCAAGCCAGGGTTACCCAGATTTTACACAGCGCTTCTGACCACTTGATGGACATGGCCTGACACAGTTATTCCACTATTCTAGAATGTACAGAAAAGCGCTGACTCTTAATGTCTGGGGAACTTCCTGGCTCCTAAATTAGTCCTTCATGGAACAATATTAGCTCAACATAAGCAAAATATGCACGTGCATGCACACATAGAGAAACACACAAAAATGCATACAAATAACAACTTCTTTTCAAATTCCTTCTATGCTTTTATATAGTGTCAGCATCAAGACATTTGAATCACTCTGAACATCCTGTCAACAGAAGATACTGCCGTTTATGTTTTGGCTTTGGTTTCTTAAGATTAGACAACAAATGACAGCATCTGAGCATTTTACAAAAGCTAATAGCCATAAAATATGTATGTGTCACAGTGGGTAACACGTTGGCAATGGCTTTTCATTTATCTTTCCTGCAGCTACACATAAGCAAATTCGACTTCAAGCAAAGAAAGAAAACATAGCTAACTTCACAACTTCATTTCAAAATAGGAGTGAGGGATTACCATTCAGAGAAAAAGCAACAATACAGATGAGAAAAAAAAGAACCAATGGGTAAGTGTGACAGTTTACATCCTCACATAATACAGGAATAACTAACGGAGGAATCAAAACTAACAGATCATTGCAAATAGCTCCCCAGAACTAAAATGTCTAACCCTTGTTCACTTGACTACATTCCGAAGCATGGCCTGCATCTAAGCTTGGCCCCTTCCTTCCTCCTGCTTCTCTGGACTCACCTCCTTGAAACTGCTAATGAACTCTTCATTTCAACTCTGGGCTTAGTTGAGATCCTCAGATTCATCAAGCTTCCTTTGTCACAGAGCCATCCTTCCCTCTGTCTGGGACCCTCTGGTGCTATGAATCCACACAAGCAGCAAACACACTATCACCTATTTCATCCCCAATTATTTGTCCTTCAACTTTCATCTAAGGAAAATATCCTTAACTTTGTTGGTAGCTCATATCAGAGTAAGCACTCAGAAAGCCACATATTTCTCTACTATACTTATCATGGGTTCAATTTTATACCCTGAGGTGGCTATGAATTGATCAGTTCCCTCACCTATATTGTAAAGCTTCCAGTGGGAGAATTTTTTGCTCCCTCTAGCACAAGTCTCAAACATATCACCTAATTAATGTTTGTAAACAATTTCATTAATTAACAAAAGAGTGGAGATTCTACCCCACATATGGCTCAGTCAGCCTATGATATGTCTTTTATTATCACTACATTTTACATATAAGGAAATGAAGGCCAATTGAAAACTGCCAGTGTCACAAACCACATACTGCGACTTATTGGAGCTGATGTTTGGAGACAAGCAGGTTGGTCCTCATTCTCTTTGTCATCATGCTACTGAGAGGAAGCAATAATCTTAAAGTTATAAATGGTTGTTAAAAATATATGCCATTCTCTTTTTCTGTTTTGAAAGCAAGCATTTGTTTGGTAGCTTGCAAGAAAATAATATCCAAAGAGTTTTAATCCAAATAAAATGGGATAAAATATAAAGTTATCACTTGCCAAATTTTAAACAGTGGTAAGTACACTTAGAAAAGCATGTATCATCCTAAACACAATGTAGGCGGGAAATCATCAAGTCTCAGTTAACTGTGAGTAATTTAGACAATTTAGTACAAATACATTCTTCAAATTGATGAGAGCCCGGGTTGATTGAATCAGACTTTCAATTACAATCTCAGAAGTTTGTAAAAACCACATAAAATTAAATTCCCAAACAAATCAGGATAATAATTCAAAGACCAACTTCTCTCTAAATGACACATTTTCAACAGCGTCACCTACAAGGCATTCTGAAGTAGCTCACAAAGTCACAGCAGAAGGGGAAAAAACAACAACAAAAAGTTCCCTTGCCTATTATCTCGGGCTGAAAGACAAGAATGAGCGAAGTCCTCATGGAAAGCACCATGTCTACATTTTACTCACAGGATAAAAGAACAAAGAACATACTAAGATGCTTGTTGATAGAAAGCCCACACTGCAGTTCAATTGTTGTAAACAGACACAAAAAAGTAAAGCTAGAGTGAATTTAGATAGACACTTCATGGTAACAAAAGGTATTTTAAAAAGATTTCAAAGCCTGGTTTCAAGAAGTACATGCTCTCAGAATGATAGGAAAGAACAAGAACACACAACCCAGGCTGTCAGCAACAACCATGTCTCTAAACAGAAAATTAAACTCCACCTGAAATAAAACACTAAAAACAAAACAAAATTTAAAATAAGATAGTAGGGGGCCTGTGTCATGCATGGTATGCCGAACCCCTGCCAGCAGTGCCAGAATTCCATATAGGCGCAGACTCAGGTTCTGCTGGTTCCACTTCTGACTCAGCTCCCTGCTTATGGCCTGAAAAGTAGCAAAGATGGCTCAAGGCCTTGCCCTCGCATCTGAATGGGAAATCCAGAAGCTCCTGGAAGCTGACTGTGGCCAGCTGGGGAGTACATCAGAAGACGTAAGTAGGTAGGTCGGTAGGTAGGTAGGTAGGTAGGTAAGAAAGCAGGTAGTTAAGTGGATTGGTAGGTAGGTTGGTAGGTCGGTAGGCTGGTAGGTAAGTAAGAAAGCAGGTAGGTAAGTAGGTAAGTGGGTAGGTAGGTAGGTAAGTAGGCAGGTAGGTAGGTAAGAAGTAGGAAGGTAGGTAAGTAAGAAAGCAGGTAAGTAGATAAGTAAGTAAGCAGGTAGGTAGGTAGGTAGCTGGGAACACAGACACACAAATTGATCAATTGATCTGTCTTTCAAATAAATACACTTTGTACCAGAAATGTGAGTATTTTTTTCTTGATTTTCCACCAAAAATCAGCAGTATTGGTTAACAGTTCTTCCTTTCTGCTCTCGAGGCTAAGAAAACAGACATCTATCTGTGTAACCTTTCAATAGGTTATGACAGGTGCACCTGCACGCATTCTGGAAAAACAGAAGCTACAGTAGCATACGTTACATTGTCTCCAAACATGCATGTAAAATCTGACAGCACTAGTAAAAAAAAAAAAAAACTATCCCCAAAATGATGTGAGCAGATATTCTCACAGATTTCAAAATATGCAAAAGGATAACACAAACCAGGAACAGCCGAAAGATCTTCAGCATAACAGAAACTGGGAAGGAATGAGAAGCAGGCAGAGGAAGCGCAGTCAGAGAACCAGGGGAGAAGCACAGCAATGTCAACAGAAAGGGAGCAGACAAGCTAAATCGAAGGTATCAGTTGAAACTGAGAGTAATTTACCCTCTCCAGGATTTAAAGTGTGCATCAGACCCCAACAAAAAGGGATGTGTAAGAGCGAGCTGCCCCAACCCCTACAAACTCTCCAAAAGAACTATCAGTGCTCCATTCCAGCACAGAATCCCACACAGAGGAGAACCTTCTGGAAGTGTGATTCAATCCCACACAGAGGAGAACCTTCTCGAAGCGGGGTTCAATCCCACACAGGAGACAACCTTCTGGAAGTGGGATTCAACCCCACACAGGAGAGAACCTTTTCGAAGTGGGATGCAAGCTCAGCAGAATACAGATCCAAGAGACACAGGAAGAGGAGATCTAGACCAGAGGAAGATCTCTAATGTACAGGTTATTCTTCAACTTCTCTCAATCTGAATGTTAGGAAAATTAATTCAGATTTTAAAAATGCATTATGCTATTACAAAACAAGCTTAAAAAATCATGACACAAGAGAGAAAAGCATGAATACAAATTGGAAAAAAAATAAATAAGGATAACAGTACTCAAAAAACAAACGTGAAAGAGAAAATTCAAAATGAAGTCTCAATTAGAGGAAACACAAAAATCAGCCACATAAAAATAATGTCTTGAAAAAATAAAAGACGTGAGGGG